TCATTTTTCCATTATTCGATTTATTGAATATTTCTATTTTATATTATTTTCTATTGCACGCATTTGTTTTTTTCTCTAATGTTTTATAGGTCTCATTATTCACTAATTTTTTTCTCCTTTTTTCCCAAAGTTTTTAATTTCACCGGGGAAAGATCTGTACTTCGATTTTGAAGTACCCTTGGCCCCAACAATAACATTATTGTAACCGGCCAAAAGTCCTTGATAAAATGTCGACGGTTTACTTTAGCCACTATAGATTTTAATAAAAGCTAAAGACTATTGAAGTGCATAAGTATTCATTGTATTTACGTTATACAACACTTCGGGATACCAAGTGACGCCTCTGTTTCTCGTTTTTATGCAGAGTTGAAGTGGCGTTATCCTTCCTACCGTCGTATTTCCTGGTATCCTTCCTCTTTCAAGTCATCCAATCCCACCGTCCTTCATACCTCTCCGAGCTCCTTCAATTCAAATCCTCTGTTCGCTCCCGCCATACTCGTTCCCGGTCTTCTGATTTATACATAAGGTCCCACCGAACCGCTGCTTTCGACAGATCGTTCATTATCCAATATTCAACCCTATGGAACTCTATCCCTTCCCACATCCGTCAATTCAATACCCTTACTACCTTTAAATCCCGCCTTGATACCTTGGACTTCACCTTGATAAACGACTTACTTCGAACCCCCATACCAGACTGAAACGACTAGAAACCGCATGACGTTTCCGACTACTCCAGCACTTACTAGACAACCGCTCTAAACTTCCAATTATCTACAAAAGGTTCATATATATTACTATAATTAAGTCTATTTGGACTTACGGAATCGAGCTTTGGGGCTCTACTAAACCATCAAATTCCTCTCGTATCCAATCCCTACAATCCAAAATCCTTAATGCTCCCTACTTTGTCACAAATAAAATCATCCATAATGACCTTAATGTACGATATGTTTCCGATTTAGCTCAATCCAGATACATGTCCTTTCATAAAAAACTTCTGAACCATCCGAACTCTCTTGTTTCCAACCTTGCTTCCTCTTATATTCCTGGTAACCCTCCGAGGTGTCTGAAAAGAAGGTGGCATCGGGATCTTCTAATATAGAAATATAATTGGAGTGACACCAATGGGTAGTTTCTGCTCATGTTGTACATGTCATATTACTTGTTCATATTTACTTGTTGTGTTTATTATTTATTACAGTTGTAAATTTCGTTAATACAAAAAATTTAAAAAAAAAAATCCCAGCTGTTTAATTATTTCTTATACATCCAGTCCCCATAAAATTGTAAATAGTTACTACTGTAAATATGTATATAAATTATTAGATCGTTCTTCTTTATTTTCATGTTTATTTTCAATTTTTTTTTGTTTTTTATTAATAACTGATCTAAATTAGTAAACAACTTATAATTTTTTTCTATTATTTTTTATTTTGAATATTTAATTACTCTATATTTTTGTTTATGTGTCTCTAAAGCTCCTTAGCCCACATTATTGTCTTTCTATATTATTGTAAAGGTACTCGTCCCAGAATAGATAAAGCATCGTTATTATTATTATTATAAATTATACAATAACTAAGATTTTCGCATGCTTTGTAAAAAAATTTTCACTTTTTGGGCTTTACAGAATTTTAGTTTTATACTGAACATGATTTGTTTTTCACTAGAAAATCCGGCCTCTAACGATCAGATATCGATCTGAAGTGTTTGTTAGTTAACAGCCTAAGCAAGATAACTTCCTTACTTCGCTGTGAATCTGAACTCATCGCGAGCGGCCGTCATCTATATTTGCATAGGAAGCGCCATCTATTGCCTAAGCACATTACTATGCAAATGCGGACGTTAGTGACCCTATATCAGACTGAGTGTGACTCAGTCGTTTGTATTCCCTCCTCGCTCCTGTTATTAGGCCCAGGGATTATTGTGAATCCAGATACTGCCTCGAATTAATAAGCCAAGTACACATTAACACATCACAGCTATACATTTCCAGGAATAAGATGTCTTCTGTAAAAGTATAATCTATACTAATATATAAATTCGAATTTTTCACGTTATAATTTCATGAAAAACAGTCATGTTACAACAACAAAATCTGGTGCGCGCAACACACAACTTTCAATTGCCACTTAACTTATATTAATATAAATACTTTCTGGCAATTTTGGGCTATTTTGAATTGCATTTTTAACTGAGCTAAAGCTAAAAAATTACAGCTAACAAATCAGAAATACCGTTAAAATAACAAAAATCCAATTTATTATTTCACTGGTTGATTATGGATTGTACGATCCGTTGATTATGGATTGCATGATCTGTAGATTATAGATTAGACGAATATTATTTAATATTCGAATATTAAACTGTTATTTTCCATTGGAAAGTTTATTAAAACGGAATTAAGATTAAGCCGTGTTAGGGATACGAAAAGGAAAAAATAGTTCCGAAAACCAAATGATAACGAGATTAGTTGAATATATGGATTAAAATAATTCAGATACTAAGAACCAGACCTGCATACTGTGAGCGAGGGAAATTTTATTCTATAAAATTATTCAAAATTTTATCTTAACGCGAGGCCGTGTTAGAGAGAAGAAAAAGAAAAAAACAGTGTCGAAAAACAAAATATAACGAGTTTTATGCGAGATATAGATTAAAATATTTTAAAAACTAAAAATCAAACATGCATAGTGTAAGTAAAGGAAGTGTTCAGACATTTCATTCCCTTTATAATGGGCTATTATTTATAATTTATATTTCATATTATTGATGTTTTCACTTCTACCAAGGTATCTAAAGCACAAACCTTAGTTCATGTTATTTTATTTATATTATATTATATTAATATCTTATATTATATACGTGTATATATTTTTTTTATTTTATTGTTAACAATTGACAAAATAATTTATGTCACCGCAATTAACAATCTGTGTAAAATATCGCTCAAAAAATCATTACATACCTTTTGAAGGACAAAATAATCACGTCATGTACTATACTTAAATGGTACTAGTATACAATTGTCACTCCACATTGAGGAGTGACACAAAATCTCATGATCAAGCTATAATTGTTATTCCGAACCTAGTGTAGGATTGACAACTTGTTGATATTATAAACTACCTTTATTTAGATCCCGATTTATGCCTTCGGCAAATTTACAGCTGGTTCTGTTCAGATTAAATTGGAGCAATAACTATCTTATATTATAAGCAATAATATTGCTGCTTTTGACAGCTCGATCTAAAGGAAGAAAAAAAAAATGCAACAGGTTCTTTTCAATAGAAGTCGGGGTCTTACCAGATTTTCGGTCAATTTCGTTTACTTTCGGCAACACTCGCCATTTTCTGGATTTCATTTATAGTGTGATCTTAAGATTTTGTACCACCTATAACAACTACACTTTTGTAGTCCCGAAAACGCTGCAAATTATTCCATAATTGTTTATTATTTCCAAAAAATTATAGATCTGAAGGAACATGACCTATTGACAAAGGAAAAGAAATAAAAGGTGATTCCATCTTTTTTCATCATTAGTAATTTGCTAAAAAAAATAGCATTACTTCAGTACCACATCCAAAAATCAAAATTCAAAACAAAGGATATAACTTTTGCAGTAGAACATATAAAAAACATCTAGAGACGATATCTTTGCTCCAAATTGTCCGATTAACCACTTTTTTGTGTGTGTATCAGGTAATTTTGTAAACTTTTAAATAACCATACAAAAAATGTATACTTTTTGAGTTATTCGAAATCTAATTTTACCATCCCTCGTAACTTTTTTTACAGCTTCTTTTCGTTTAAGTATGTTATATAGATAAATTTTAAAGGGCATTAAGAGGACTTTAGCCAAGTTTCATGGATAAAGCAATGCGGGTTTTTCGGCAGCCATCTAGAAAGTAAAAGGCGGATAGTGATGTCGATGAAGGAGGACCATCATCGGGTGACTTCTGTCTTCAAATCTTTTTTTTTTTTTTTTCAAGATATTTACAACTGTATTACAATATAAATACATCAAGTAAATGTATGTGTACACAAGAATATAATCACTTGAAAACGCTTGTTGAGAATCTACCTACAGGTAGCAATATTTCTACATAAGGAGATCACGAGGCCATGTTCTTTTCAGACGCCTCGGGGGTTATCAGGAATCGAAGAGGAAGCAAGGTTAGAAACGAGAGAATTCGGATGGTTATGAATTTTACTATGGAAGGATAGATATCTGGTTTGGGCCAAATCGATGACATATGGAACATTGAGGTCATTACGGATTATTTTATCTGTGACAAAGTAAGGAGCATTGAGGATTTTACGAAGGATTTTGGATTGTAAGGATTGGATACGAGAGGAATTTGATGGGTTAGGGGAGGCCCATAGCTTAACTCCGTAAGTCCGAATAGGTCTTATTATAGTCATATATATTAGTCTTTTGTAATTAATAGAAAATTTAGAGCGTTTGTTTAGTAAGTGTTGGAGTAAGCGGAAACGTCGAGCAGTTTCTTGCTGTTTCAATCTTGTATGAGGATTTCAAGTAAGACGTTTTTCCAGGTGGAATTCAAGATATCGTATTTCTTCAACAGGGATAAGTGGAGTGTTATTAAAGGATTCTGTAGGACCGGAAGTCATAGGCTTACGACGATCTTTAAATCCAAATTTGAAAAAAAAAATCGGTCCATTAGTTTCAGTGAAAATACGCTGATGGCGGACGGACAAAACAATTTGTATTCGTTTTTCGAATTCTACGTATTCTGAAATGCAAAGCATTAAATTTTGAGAGGGGGTTAAGTTTTTGAATTTGTTTTCGATTAAAATGGTTCGTTATTGAAAACGATAAACCAAAATTGTTTTAAAACACTCTTGATCATGCGAAACACAACAACCGTTTTGTGGCTTCACGGTAATTGTAATTCATAGTAAAATTAAAAATCAAACCTGTATCTTACGTCATGTTTAGTAGTTATAACAGGTTTTAATCAAAATATATAAATTAAAACTGTTATTGATCATGTGTTTTTTATTCTAACCAGTATCATATTCGGACTTTGAAATTCTTTTAGTGCAATACTTTTCGATGTGGACCGAAACAGCAACTAGATTGGCACCTGTCCTTCCGCTGAGCCTTTGTTGGCGCCTCGTCCACAGGACGTTCTCTTCCAAGCTGGGGGAAGTCTTCGCGGGGTCCTTGGTGTCCTTCCTCCACTCGGTGCTCGTCGTCTGCCTCATCATGGCCACGGACGGCGAGGACTCCACCATCATGCTGTGGGCCGCGGACTCCGACAACTCGCCGAAGCAGGAGCTGGTGCTGACCACTTCCTTGAGCTACTTCTTGCACGACACCCTCAAGAGCGGTTGGTCGGGCTGGCGGATGGCCATGCTGTTCCACCACCTGGGAGGCCTCGTCTTCTTGGCCGTTCCTCTTGTCCTGGGGCGGTTCGGGGCCTGCACGGTCCAAGCCTTGCTCTTCCTCGAGGCCTCCAATCCCTGCTACCACGCCCGAAGGATGCTCTTCGACAGGACTGGGCCGCTCTATCGCTGGTTGGATATCCTCTACTTCGCCGCCTTCGCCTACCTCAGGATGGCCTGCGCCTTCATCCTCACAGTCGACGTGCTCATCAATCGTCATCGCATGTCGCCCTTTTACGTCTGGGGTTCTGTGTTCTTCCAGATGGTGTCCTTCGTTTTCATGGTTCTCATCCTTCAGCACTTGATCGCCAAATATTTTTACCCGTTGATGAGGCGTTTTAGCAACGATATCGCCGATTTATTGTTCGTCGAAGAACGAAACCAATTCATTACGGAAAAGTGAAACTGGTAAATATTTGGAATAATAAATGTCATAAATTGAAACCGCTGCATATGCTCATATTTTAAGATGTTAAATTATAATTTATACTAACAAATTAACCTTTGCTCGGAATTTCATTATATTTCTTATTTTATACGTATAAAACTAAACATGTGATTCAAAATATATAAATCAATCGATATCAATAAAATTGAGTAGATCCTATACATTTAACTACATTATTAATACTTAACCTACATTTAACTACAACAGAGTAATGGTGATCAAAAATCTATGTATGTATTTATGGGGGTAATTATTTACGAACGGTCCTCCACTCGCCATCTTGGTTGAACTGGTATTATGTCCCGTATTCTGATAACGTTTACGAAGTCTAGCACCAGAAAGCGCCACTATTGCGGAGGGGTTGTCTTGTCCCCTCCACCTTACCTCTGTTTTCAGTAAATATAGAAATTAGATCGTTTAGGTTATATATTACCCGCCTTTTTTTTAAATTAACCATTCCTTACCCACCATTAAATAAGCATCGATTGAACACCCATTTCCATCTTATCCACATAATATTTTTATGCTTATACTTTTTATATATCCACATAATATATTTATGCTTATACTTTTTAGATATATTCTGTCACATTTTCAGTCTAATGTGCAGCATACTGTCTTAAACAATTCGTTAAACATTAAACAACTTCATTAACTTAAATTTTTAAATATTTGATGGTTGATCATTGTATATTTTAGATATTTAGATTGTATATATTCAATTTTTAAATACTTTATGCTTGACCATGCTATATTTTAGATTGTATGTACTAAAAAATTTACAAGTTTCTATAAGTGTTTTAATGCTGGATAAGGGTTATGTTTTTCATTTATATGTTACTTAAATCTTCTAGCAATAAAACACATTTTCAGTCTACTGAGGTACATATTGGCATTACCAGATTCTAAGGGAAATGTTTCAGGATCATGTAGGAGAGCTCTAGCGATTCATTTAATTTAAAAGAAGAAAACACTACTGACATTCCTTTAAATCTGAACTTGTCAGCAACATTACGAGTTCTTAGCGATTGGTCCCTTGTATATTCCCCTTGGAACCGTACATTTTCTACATAATTAACTATGCCAATCATCGTATCTGTATGATAGTCAAATATCTTAGCAACCTGTATATATATATATAAAACGCAATGCTCCAAGAGGTATTTAGTTAAGCAGTAATCTTTTTCAAACATTAGCTAAATTATGTCAACTTGAGCCTGTAACATTTATAACAGATGCTTTTGAATATATTTTTACCTATGCATCTCAATTATTCACATTTGGTTATTATAATTTCTAAATTGTCTTAATCTCCAATCCAATTTAAATTATCTGACCAGTTATCCCTAGCCATTTCCATTGCTGCCTACTTACATTATCTGTATCTACTTTTAGATAGATATATAGAAAAAAAAACTTTATTCTGGGACTAAGTACCTTCAGAATAACAATAATGTACAAAATAATAGAATATTACTGGCCTAAACGTTTGAAACAATAAATAAAATTGATAAAATAAAATAAAAAGTAAAGGACCTTTACCTTTCCTTAGGTGCGCAAGCTATATACAATACAGATAAAACTATGTACAGAGCATTTAAAATTATAAACAAAACAATTAAAACTATGAACATATCACTTGAACTATAAACAAAACTATAAAGTTAGAATGTGTTCATTTCATAAAAAAATAAAATTTTACTTGAATATACATATAAAAATAAACAGTTAATTATAATTGAATAAATAAAAGAAATGTATGTATTGAAATTCCTATGTCGATAGTATGAAATGCATGAACTATCTCTTATCAAGTATTATGATTATATGATTGCTACACAATACATATATAGTATTAATACTTAGCTGGTATCTGACTGTTTTTGGAACAGGAATTGGAATATGAGGTTTTTGAATGTGTATAGGGGAGGGGCATGTCGAATTTTGATCAGGAGGGAATTCCAAAAGTTGACAGAGCGGGCTATAAAGGAATTTTGGAATGAGGCAGATCTATGAGAAGGGATGTATAGGTCGGAGGGTAGAGATCTTGTAGTGAGGGAATGGATTGAGGACTTAAATTGGAGAAGGTTGTAGGCGTAAGAAGGACCGGTAATGATTTCATAAAGAAAAGTGCCTAGGAGGAAATATTGTCTTCTTAAGGAGGGGAAGAGCCACCCTAACTCAGTGTAGTGGTTGGAGACACAGGAGCTGACACTGACAGGATTCAGAAATATTAATGAGACAATACAATATAAAAGTAGATATAGATAATGTAAGTAGACAGCAATGGAAATGGCTAGGGATAACTGGTCATCTGGTATTGCCAGTATGTAACTGAGTAGACTGAAAATGTGTTTTATTGCTAGAAGATTTAAGTAACATATAATTGAAAAATATAACCCTTATCCAGCATCAAAAGCATTATAGAAAATTGTTTAATTCTTCTTGCTAGAAGATTTAAGTAACATATAATTGATAAGTATAACCCTTATCCAGCATCAAAACCCTTATAGAAAATTGTTTAATTCTTCCTGAATTGTATTAATATTGGACATACTTAGATAATGTACAATTAGAGATAAAGTGTCACAATTAAAACAAAACTTAAGTTAATAAACTTCTTTCATTTATGATAAGGAAAGCGAAAAGCATTAATAATGCTGAATCTCGAAGCTAAAAAAACAAAAACGGGCAATATATAAACACTACAATTATAAATAATATTAGTAATATATAATGGTAAAAAAAATTGATGTAGGTAATATGTGTAAATAATAACATCTGAAATATAAAGTTTGGTTAATCGATATATTGAAGATACAAAGAAATCGACAGTTAAAAAAATGGTGGGCACTATATATTGTAAAGGTTACAATTGGTAATTATTTGTAATGAACGTAAGGTGGAGGGGACAAGACAACCCCTCCGCAATAGTGGCGCTTTCTGGTGCTAGATTTCGTAAACGTTATCAGAACACGGGACATAATACCAGTTCAACCAAGATGGCGAGTGGAGGACCGTTCGTAAATAATTACCTTTATGGGAAATATCTATCAAAATAATGATAACTGTTTTTAAGAATTGAAACATTTATTGATGATAATAAATAGCTGAGCTTAGTTTTATTGTTTGGAATAATATTGGATTTCAACCGATGTTTCACTTAGCGCTGAAGAAGGTGGTAAGAACATCTTATGAAAATGGAGTAGTGCACGTCTAAACGAATCATTAAATCATTGGATATGCAGAAGATAAAAAACTCACTAAGACCTTGATAAGAGAAGCAGAATAAATCTAAAACCTAGAATTAAATGAAGACAAAACCAAATATGTGAACATAATAAGCCAACTTGGTTTTCTCCTAGACAGACGGCTAACGTGGAATCCGCACACTAGACTGAAAATACAGGAACTTAACCGACGTTATGGCCAGCTATATAGACTAGTTAATAGAATATCTGATCTTTTTATTGAAAACAAACTACTGATCTACAAGCCAATATTAAAACCCATCTGGACTTACGGACTAGAACTGTGGGGAACAACCAAATTTTCTAACATCAAACGCAATCAATCCTTTCAGTCCAAAGTCCTCCGGTACAATAGTCGATGTTCCCTTCTATGTGTCCAATAAAACCCTGCATAATGACCTTAATATCCCATTTATTCTTGAGCTTATCCCAGACAAATTTCTTCAGAACCTTACCCATCACCCTAATCCCGTAGCACAACCCCTATTTAGCACCACTCATCCCTACAATCCTCCTAGCAGGTTAAACGGCAGTGCCCTCGTGACCTTTTGTAACATGTATATATTGGAGTTCTGCCAATGGCCAGATTCTCCACTCAAGTCATGAGTGTCTGTGATTGTAGCGCCCTTACTCAATCTCGGTTGGCTTGTAATACCAGTCAAGTGGTTGAGGAAGAAAGGCAGTGGCCTCGCGATCTTTTGTAGATTGTATAAATTGGAGTTCTGGCAATGGCCAGATTCTTCACTCAAGACATGAGTGTGTGGCTGAAGTGCTCTCGACCAATCTCCGCTGGCTTAGTACCAGTGACGCTGTTAGGAGAGTAGCGCAGGGTTCTCCCGGAGTTCCCTCGCCTGATTGTATATAGGTATGCATGTGTTTTTTTTTCTTAGTTTTAATTTTCATATTTTTTATTTTATTATCTATTGTATATACTTTTGATTATTATTTTGTTCTATTTATTTTGTTTTTTGTACATATGGTGAGAATGTCAACCTACCTCACTATAACCAATGTCGAAGAGACAGATTGTTATAATACTCAATAAAGAAATAAAAAAAAAAAATTTATTCAGGCTTAGCTTTGTTTCTTCTATCTTAAAAATTACCGTAATATCTCCATATTAATAAGGTAAAAAGTAACTGCAAGGCTGTTGCGAGACTCTTGCGCAAGACAAAAACCATGATCAAGACTGAGTTTGCAAGGCCAAGACTTCGTCTCGGTCTCGCATTTGGGCAACACTAATAGCCATAGATCGAGAAGGCTGATTAAGGTGATAAAAGACCTACAAGGTCTGCAAAATTAAAAAAAAAATAATATTTGACCAAAAAGATTATCTTTATTTTTTGGGGGGTGGGAGAGCAAATAACTAATAAGTAAAAAAAATATTATATTTAATGATTATTATATTATTTTATTTCTCAGCAGCAAGCTAGAACATCTCATATTAATATGAAACTAATGGACCATAGCCACGTGTGATCTATTTCATGGCATTTCCTCAAACATAACAGGTCATGAATAATTCACAAATATGAAGAGGCAAATGATTGAAGAGCGTCCCAGACCTGGATGCGAGGCGGTCAGGACGTACTCCATCGTCGAGAATATCCCCCTTCTCCTCCTTTAGGTTAAAGCACCTCCCCCCCCCTTTAGGTTAAAGTAGCCTCCTTCAGGTTAATAATGTGGAGAGGAAGAGGGAGCTAATGTCCCGTGAGGAAACACAGCCTCTTATGAATAATTCCTGCGAGAGTCCTTGCTAGCTCCTCTCTATTGCTCCTTCCTCTGATTTACAGGACTACAGGACCTCCTCAAGGACTTGTCCTTCTTCCTCCAGGACACTCTAAGGAGCTTAAGGGGCAGAATAACTAATTGATAGTCGAGTACTAATT